GAGTCCTCAGAGGTCAGAAAAGGGTATTCAGTCCCCTGGAACTGGAGTAGCAGGTAGTTGTGAGCTGCCATGTGGGTTCTGGGAACTGAACTCAGGTCCTCTGCAAGAGCTCTTAACCACTAAGCCATATTTCCTGTTTTTCATTTTAAGTATCAAATTCTCATCTTTATAGAAACAGCATTGTAAGTTGGGTGAATGGCGGAGCTGTTGACCACTTGTGAAGCCCTGGGTTCAAGGCTCAGTACCACAGAAAATGTGTGTATGTATGCATGTGTTTGCTTGTGCGTATGTGTGTGTGAACCCGTGTGTGTGTGTGTGTGTGTGTGTGTGCATGTGTATGTGAGAGAGACGGAAAGACAGAGACAGAGACAGAGAGTTCTCTCTTGGACCTCAAGAAACCCAGTCCAGGAGATCATGGGGGGATTGGACCCACTCACCAGATGACGTCACAAGGGCCCCAGAGGTCCCAGATGTGGGACATGTGTCAGGGCTGTGCTGGAGACAGGGCTTCTGCCTATTACAACGCTAACCCAGCCACACACCTCTGTCCTGGAGTCATACTCTCTGGGGCCAGGCTCGAATCCCTCCCTTGCTCCTCTCCACCCAGGCTGTGCTCTGAACGACTCGCCCGTGGGCCTGGCTGCCTACATCTTAGAAAAGTTCTCCACCTGGACCAACCCAGAATACCGTGAACTGGAAGACGGAGGCCTGGAGAGGTGAGGCCCCGCGGCCCTGCTGCGAGGACCCAGTCCCGAGGCTCTGCCTCTTTCTGCCCATCATTCATCCCTGATCAAGGTCCTCTATAGAGGGCCAGCAAGCTCCCCTGTCTTTGGTGTCCGACACATCCTACCACCCCACTGTAACCAGAGAGACCCTGTGTGGAGGATGGAGAGGTGGAGGCACCCACAGGACAAGTGTCTAGTTCAATAGGTTAGTGACACAGAGGACTCAGAACTCAGCAGCTCCCCCTACAGGCAAGGAGTCTCCGGGACAGTGAGCAACCCTTATTGCACAATAGCAGGGTCTCTCACCCAGAGCCTCCACAGATTCTGTGGGGGCCAATGAAGAGAGGCTGTGGAAAAGACTGGGGAGCCATTCCATCTCCGGAGTTCTTGAAGTTGCAACATGCATCAGATTTTAGTCCTGTTCCTTAACCTGGTGCAGGATTTCACTCTGGTCCCCAGCCCCCAGGGGACCTTTCTTTCCCTGTTCAGTGACACACCAAGCGCCCATCCCAGAGCTGTGGGCAGGAAGAGAAAATGAAATGGGACGGGATCTGCCCGGGGACAGAAACACTGAGAAACACTGTTCTGTCCCCACTCTCACCTCGGCACCCACAGCAGCCTGATACAGTGAGTCTTCAAGAAATGGATGGGAGCCGGGTGGTGGTGACGCACACCTTTAATCCCAGCACTCGGGAGGCAGAGGCAGGCGGATCTCTGTGAGTTCGAGGCCAGCCTGGTCTACAGAGCGAGTTCCAGGACAGTCAAGGCTACACAGAGAAACCCTGTCTCGAAAAAGAAAGAAACTGATGGTAGAAGAACAAGCCTGTGGGCGGAGGGCTGCGCAGGACCAGAGGAGACATCTGCTCTGTCTCAAGGGGAAATGCCAGGATGTATGCCTCACTGAAGATCACTAAGATTCTGCCGGCGTGGGGGGGGGGGGGGGGGAACTGAGGCAGAGGGAAAAGCAATTTAAATGCAAGTTGAGTTTGGACTTGTCCAGGGACTTGAACAGATCCATCAAGGACAGGTCCCCAATCCGTTCCTCTGGGCAAGTCACCAAGAGCCTGGACAAGTCCTCGCCCTGAGTCTGTCTCCCGCAGAACACACTCAGCAAGAATCCTGACTGAGGGAACGCCCCTGGCTCCCTGGCAAGGGACTTGGTATGCTCCTTGCGACCATGCCTGCAGCCCCCTTCAGTCTCTGGCCTGGCATGAGCAGCCCAGATCTCAGAGCAATGACAGACTAGTACCTGGGTCCCTTGACCCTTGGTTCATCACCTCAAACCACTTTGTGTGCTGGCTCCTGAGGAATACTCAGGAGACCAGCCTCTTCCTGCTGCCAGGAGTTTCAAATTGCTTAGCATCCTAAGAGAGGGAAATTCATTTGGAGAAACCTGGAATCTTGAACTGGGGGCGGGAGAATGGTCACTGGAGGGTGGGCAGTGCTAGCCGCGACCTGGGAACCCCAGGAGGAAGGAGGAGGTGGTGTGCTCAAAGCCCCTGGGTGCACGGGTGCCACCTGGTGGTGAGATGGGTGAGAAACTTAGAACTTGCTGTCTGCCACGGTCAGCACTCTGCATTAGCTATCCACCTAGAAACAGGACCTTGACCCAGTTGACCTATGGAAAAAAATGACACCGGTCTTTTGAGGGAAATAAGATAGGCAAGGACCCTGGCACTGACCTGGGCATCCGGTGTGCTTTCCCAGGAAGTTCTCCCTGGAAGATCTGCTGACCAACATCATGATCTACTGGACAACAGGAACCATTGTCTCCTCCCAGCGCTTCTACAAGGAGAACCTGGGCCAGGGCATCATGGTCCATAGGCATGAAGGGTAAGCCTGGCTGAGCAGGGAGAGGGGACGCTGGGGTTAGTAGCCACTTGGACTTCAGTTCAAAGAAGGCAAGATGGCGTGATAAGAAAGACAGCAGATGTTCTTGGGATCCTGATGTTCCCTGCATCCTGCTCTGCTGGGACAGAGGTATTGGGGTTTACAACATCTACATTAAGACGCTCAGGTGACAGCGAGGAAACAGACTTGCAAAGTGGGTATTTAGAGGCTCACATGACCTGTTACATAGTCGTCCCAGGCAGAGAGGGTCCTTAGTAAGTAGAAGCAGAGGCTGTATTGAACGGCTGACTGATTCCTGAGTCTGTCCTTGTCATTATGGGTCCACATGGCCTCCCTCAGCTCTGGGGTCCTGATCTTGCCCATGGGACATGAGAGAAGCCTTAATCCCCAGCAACCCCTCTTCCCCGCAGGATGAAGGTCTTGGTGCCCACCGGCTATGCTGCCTTCCCTTGTGAGCTACTGCATGCGCCAGAAAAGTGGGTGAAGGTCAAGTACCCCAAGCTCGTCTCCTACTCCTACATGGAGCGTGGGGGCCACTTTGCCGCCTTTGAAGAGCCCAAGCTTCTGGCCCAGGACATCCGCAAGTTCGTGTCCCTGGCTGAGCTGCAGTGATGCCCTTGGGGATCAACCACAGCCTCAGCAGCCGCCCTGGCACCTCCCCTGGCTCCCTTAAGAAAGACGCCCCCTTTCAAAAGAAAGAGCTTAAGATTTTGTGCCCTGCAGGCCCTGGGAGCCTGGGTGCGCTCCTCCACATCTTACCACCCCATGTTAGGTCACAGACCTTAAAACATGTGGCCACTTAAAGAGCCAGGTGCCCCCAAGTGTCCCAGCTCTGGGAAGATCTAGCCACGCCTCCCCCAGAGGAGGGTATGGTGGTATTTTGTTTGTGCTTTAATAAATAAAGTTTGCCTGGAGATCAGAGTGCAAAGCAGCCATACTAATCAGCCATACAGGCCAGGCAGTGGAGGCAAACACCTTTAATCCCAGCAGCCACACTAGTCAGCCATAGAGGCCGGGCAATGGTGGCGCATGCCTTTAATCCCAGCACTAGACAGGAGGAGACAGGAGCTCTGGGTCTGCAGTCAGGCTGAGAACAGGATCATCCAGCCTTGGTAGAGGTAAGAACTCTCTAGTGGTTGGCTGCTTTGCTTTTCTGATCTTCAATTTGAACCCCAATATCTGTCTTTGGGTTTTTATTACTCATGCTATAAAAGGGAGTAGGAGAGCTAACAACTGCTCCGTCCTCAAAGTCTCCCCTCTACCTTGCAGCTGTGGGCAAGCAACTGCTGCTCCCTAGACCCAAGGCAACTCTGAATTGTGATTTCATGCTTACCTAGTACCTTCCTGACCCCCTGACTCCTAGCAGGTAAGATGGATCTCCAGGTGTGGAGCCTTCCCCACTTGCCAAGAACTCCCTTTGTCCCACACCCTCAGAGCCTCTCTGCCTTGCTCCTTCCCCTTAAGACCCCCTTGTGGGTCACAGCACTCCTAATAAAGCTCGTCTGGAACAGAGTTCCCTTCAGCACCTGTCTCTCACACCTGTCTGTGACACTTGTCTGTGACACCTGTCTCTCACACCTGTCTGTGACACCTGTCTGTGACACCTGTCTGTGACACCTGTCTGTGACACCTATGGCATCTTTCCTAAAATTTACCTAACGTGCTATGGACCTGTGTTAAGCAATATGGCCTTGGTGACAAATGATTTTACAAACAACATCCTTTACTCCAACCCACATGGGGCCCTCCTCCCAGAGGCGAGCTCACACTTCTGCCCATGTACTTTTGTGCCTACTGGGCCATGTGAAACAGCCCAGACTGGTTAAGGCAGCAAAGGCAGCTGGAAATAACCACTGACCAGGGCCACCCTAAACCAAGCAGCCCCCAGAGTAGTGCTGGCACCATCCAGACACTTATAGAGATCAAGTCCCTGGAAAAAAGGCAGTGTGGCCGGCTGGCTCAAGTGAAAGGGCCCTGATAGGCAAGGGCCACCAGAAAAAGGGATGGGCAGATCCTGCCTGGTCCCTGTGGTAAGGAACTGAGGCAGGCCCAAGTGGTTGGTTTTTGATCTACCTGAAGAAGATCCGAAACCCACACCTTCACCAACCTTGGACGACTAAGTCCCACCCATCCCCATGCATGTCTTGTCACACCTCTTCTTCTCCATGTGGGCCCTGGGCCTCCACCTGTCCCCTATAGCCCAATCCCAGATTCCACTCTAGAAAAAGAAAGAGCTGCCCAAAACAGAAGAAATGGAGGGGCACCCTCTTCTCTCTGTGTCTGCCACTCTGTCCTCCCATCATTCCAGGGTACCCTTGACGACGCCCCTCCCATCTTGGACAGAGCAGACGCATCACGTAGAGGCTAGATGAGGCCTGCATGGACACAGAAAGCCACACGTTAACCTGGAAGAGGCATGAGGAGTGGGATCTTACCACCAACCAAGTGGCCACTTTATTAATGGTTCTCAGTGTCCCTGCCTACTGCAGGGTGACCCCAGTCACAGGATCTCAGGCAACATGATACAAAAACCCAGAGGCACAGCATGTGGGGAGGTGGCCACATAGCCAGTGGGCAGGCGCAGGCTGCCCTGCTGCTGGCGGCAAGGACAAGATGCTTCCTGGTCCCTACAGCCGTCCACTTTTCCCTGAGAAGGGGCTGCAGGCTTGGGAAGCACTGTAGGTCCCCCCCCCCCCCCGCCATGGGCTCTGTCTCTGACCCAACTGCTGCAGGGTTGCTGGTCATTAGCTATGCATCCGCTTACAGATGGCTAAGCAGCATTCCCGGGCTTTCCTGGACACATCTCCCCATCAACCGGTGGTCTCTAGACCTGATCAGTGTGAGGGCAAAATTCCAACACACGATCATGACTACAAACCACTGGGGACATCATCCCACCTTCAGAGCTGTATCCTTGCAGTGGGTGGAGGAAGAAATGTGCATATCCTCATACGACCACAAGAGGGAGGGAGCTGCAGGTGTTCCCCACACTAGAACCAGAAAAGCAGCCTACAGGTGGCGCTTAGGAGCAGGAGCCCTACCATACACCCTCAGCCACGGGCCTGAGCCCCCCATGACCCGCTGGTTCCCTCCCTCCTCTCACGAGACAGGAGCTTGAAAACAGGAAAGCACTCGAGAGCCTGTCTGGGCTCCAGTCCCTCCTGAGTGCCCTGAGCCAGTCAGACCAGCAGCTTGCCCACTCTCAGGACTCCTGGTAGGCATCGGCCAGGCTGTCACTAAAATTCTGAGCCACAGGCTGCCCAGAAAGAGTCCCACTGATGTTACGGATGGCACCGTATGTCTGCTGCTGCTGCGGGGATAACGCCGTCTTCTCGGAGGCCAAACCGTTCAGAATCCGAGGCACATAGGGCTGTTGGCAGATTCGAGAGTTAGGTCTTACTTGGAAGATGGCAGGTCTGACACCCCACATCCTGGTCATGCCCCACACTACCCCTTTTTCCCAATGGGTGGATGCATATCAAGAAGTAGCAAAAAGGAAAGAAAGAGAAATAAGCATTCACATGGGGACATCTGGACCCTAAGTAAGCCAACTGTGTCTTTCTCAGCAGCCAGAGCAAAATGGAAAGCAGTCTACAGCCCAGTTCTCCTGACAATACGAAGAAAAAAGAGTGACTTCCTCTGGTTCTCAGAGAAACATCCTTCCTGCTGCTGTACTCTGAGTGACTGTCTCAGCTTATTTGGGAACCAGGCTGTCTGGAGAGATACGTGTCTGTCAGTTATGCAGCCTCCCAGACCCAAGCTGGAAGTGAAGGATTTTCCACTTCACCCAGCCTGCTCTCCTTGCTGGCTGGCAGGGGCAAGGGTGTCTCTGGGTAATTACACTACCAAATACCTACTTTCTAGGGGTTTGTCCAAGGACAGACCTTAAGAGGAGTCTTTAGCCGCTAGAAGGACAAAGAGTGAGGAGGTCACCAGTGTCCTACCCTCACACCTGTTAGGATGGCCAGAAGTCACCACTCTACCATCTGGGGCTCAAGGGCCACACTCTACCCTGAGGTAGCACCCTGGAGGACAGAGGCAGGGAAAACCGGGAAGAAGAAGGGGGCCTTTCCAACTTGGCAGCCTCTTCTGGAAAAGGCGCCCTACGCATTTGCTGAACTCAAAGGGGCACAAGTCTGCTGTCTCCCGTAGCTGTCCCAGGATCTCACACAGGCACTCGAATAACCAGCGACAGAGCTGCAACCACAGGACCTCCTGATACAGTAGCACTGAAGGTCCAACTCCCCAGGCAGTGGGGCTGAGAGACGGCAAGCGAGCAGGGCACTGTGGCCCACAGAAAGAAGGGCATCCACTGGGCAGAGTAAGCCTCAGTGGCCAAAGCAGCTTCCTGTGTGCAGGTACAGCAGCATCCTGGCTGACTACAGAGTCTTTTCAATTGACATTAGTTCACAACTAGCCTGCCAACTGACCTGGGCTCTCTTTTCAGCTAGCACTATGCCAGGGCATTCCTATGGCTTCTCTGGATGGGACCTTACAACCAGAGGGACAAAGGGCAGCCACCATGGGGATAGAAACACAGATCGCTTACTGTGAATGATGGGGGCACATGGGCCTCTGTTTCGCTTCCTCGGTCACTTGATGATTCTTCTGTCTGTGGACAACAGCAGAGACACAATGACGAACAGAACTGGTCTCTCTGAACAAAGGTCCCCCAAACAAACAGACTAGTAACCAGCAGAATAATGGGACCAGCCGGCACCAGGCTCCCAGTGCAGCTCAAATGAGGGATGGGGACAGGGGCCAGGAATAGGGAAGGGACGGAAGTCACATCACACCCGAAGAAGAGCCAAAGAAGGCTAGTACTGCAGCCACATGGGGAGGGAGGAAGAAGAGGAAGCCACTGCTGTCCTCAGAGTTGCCTGAGGCATGGCAGGCAGCCAGGTGGGTACCTTGTAGTTCCAGGGGCTCAGGTGCTTGAAGCATCCAAAGCAAGTGTAGAGCAGGCAGGCCAGGATGGTGAGCAGAACCACCAGGAAGGTGAACAGAGTGGAGGGGGCCGTCAGACCTGGGAACACAGGTGCAGCCTTGAGGCAGAGGACTGCCTGTCATGTTTGCTCTGTCAAGGAAGGGGCCAGGCCTGGTGCCTAAACTGTGGGTGACTGCTCCCTGGCCCCCACCTCTACCCCTCACTTCAACAGCCAGAACAGTACCCTCACAGCCAAGAGCACACAGGGTATAGGACCCACGTGCTGGCTAGAATCATCCCTAGTCAGCTTTTGGACACTGAGACACCAAGTAGATGGTCATTTGATAGTGGGATTGCTAGGACAGCTGCCCCCAGACTCTGGAGCCTAGGGCTAGACAGGGCAGGGACTCCCTGGGGGTGACTGTAGTGCTCATATCCTCTGGCTCAGTCTCCACCCTCCACTGAACTGGTACTGGAGCTGTCTGCTCCGTGGGGATTTCTGGAGCTATGCCACACTTGACCTAGCTCAGTAGCCAGGTTGCCAACATTATACCAACCACCGTCACCCAGGAGCACCACATTCCACCATACTGATGCTATGAATGTAGTCAGGGACCCAGCTGGCCGCTGTGCATGTGGGAATAAGGCCGCTGGCACTGGGCCGAGAGCAGAATGCTCTTACCCAGACGAAGGAAGGAGAAAAAGAAAAGCCAGAAGAGGCAGAGGATGGGAGCTGCTAAGGCCTGGTTCACAGCAGCAAAATGAATCCTCTTCTCCAGTTTGGCCGGGAGGTAAGCGAAGTACAGGTTGTGCCGGTCCACCAGATGCTTGAGCAGGATGTAGATGAGACCTGCAAAAGAGGGGCACTGAGCTAGAGGTCTTGCTGGGCCACAATCCCAGCACATAGGAGGCAGAGGCAGGCAGATCTCTGTGAGTTTGAGACCAGCCTGGTCCACATAATGAGCTCCAGGACAGCCAGAGCTATATAGTGAGACCCTGTCTCAAAACATAAAGAATTAAGGCTGGGTGGTGGTGGTGCACGCCTTTAACCCCAGCACTTGGAAGCAGAGGCATGAGGATTTCTGTGAGTTCAAGGCCAGCCTAGTCTACAAGAGCTAATCAGGACAGGCTTTTATTTTATTTTATTATTTATTTTTTATTTTATTATCTATTTATGTGAATGTGTATGTGTGTATATAAAACCAAGGAGGTGAAAGAGATCAACTCTCTGAAGCTGGAGTTTCAGGCAGTGAACTGCCTGATGTGTGTGCTGGGAATCAAACTCAGATCCTATGCAAGAACAGTATGTGCTCTTATCCACTGAGTCATTTAGCCACCTAGCCCTTAATTAACTAAATAATTAAATTATATTAAAAAGAGTCAGTCATGGCAGCACAAACAGCTACAACCCCAGTGTTTGGGAGGCTGAAGCAGAGGATCCCAAGTTTGAAGCCGATCATAGCAAGACTTTGTCTTTATAAAATATAAAATATATGATCTATACAATGATGATGATAAAATTAATAATAAGGAAAATCATGACTGAGGAGCTAGCTCAGTCCATAAGGTGCCTGCTGCAAGCATGAGGGCCTGAGATCAGATTTGGCACCAAGGTAAACACTGGGCACACATCTGTAACCAAAGCACTGGGAAGAGGAAGCAGAGGTAGGCTGCTCCCCAGAGCTAACCAGCCCACCAATCAGGGAGCTTTGTGTTCATCCATAGTGGGGAGTAACAGAGAACGAGGTCTGAGAGCAGGCATAGTGACTCACACCTGTAGTCCAGCACAGGAGGCAAAGGCTCAGAAGAGCAGATCTTTGGGAGTTTGAGCCAGTCTAGTCTACATAGAGTCTACGACACTACAAAGGGAGACCCTGTGCTTAAAAAAATCATGGAAAGAAATGAACGAAGGAAGGAAGGAATCCAATATCTATCTTTGCCCTATACACCAAGTGCATGAACACCCAAACTCACCCATACACACATGCAAATCAAACAAGATACCATGATGGACCAGAATAGAAACTCATGCCAGACATAAGAGAGTAACCATAAGGTGTCACTCTGCTGGGAATCCACTGTGACCTGGTGGTAGCAATCAGGCAGGTGTGAAAGAGTCAGCTGTCCACGAACCCTGAGACCGATGCCAGGGCCACTTACCAAATGGCACAATGATGGGGCAAGTGATGCTATAGGCCATGATGACGGTGAAGACACACAGCGTCCATGCATACATGGCTCCGAACTCGTATTCAAAGGCCTGGTTCTAGGAAAGAAAGGGTTAAGGCACTCTAGGCTGGTTCTGTCCCCAAAAAATCCTTCTATGTACCACGCACGGAAGATGGGAGATTTCCAACAGGGTTGGATGATATGGGATTCCCCTATGTATGCTGTAAATGCCATTGGTTAATAAAGAAACTGCCTTGGCCTGTTGATAGGGCAGAACTTAGGTAGGCGGGGGGGGGGGGGGCGCACACCGGCGCGC